AAAATTAGTATTGTAGAATGTTTCCAACCACATATATCTGGCTACGTAGAGCCTAAGTTCTTACTGAACGTGCATGCCGAATTATTGGAAGGTATATCTATAATATACCATATACATACCTGATATCTATATTTATAAATTCGATTTCATATTATATAGCACATGGTAAATACCATCACAGATTTGTACACTCCCCAAATCGACTGCAAATGGTTACCTGACGCGAATACTTGCAATCAATCTTTTTGCGCTAAATTAGATGCGGTGGCCACCGAGCTATAATTAAACAATAAACGTAAAACAGCTTTACATATGAGAAAGGTCCCTATGGTTAAATAACAAAGATCGTATTAGAGTGAAAGAAAGTTCAAAAACTCATTAATAATTCAGTAGCACATGGCCAGAAATGACGGACATTGTGCAAAGGTACCAGTCGGTCAGCGGCTTTTCCGTTTATCCACAAGAATTCCTAATTATCCTTTTACGACCTATCAAAGCATCCGGAATTTCAAATATTCGCGTGGGTGTTGTTTATAAAGCAAAGCATGAAGTATGCACTCAAGTTGTGGCATTTAGTTTACCAGGCTCAGGATGTAGCTAAGCAATGACTACGGGAACAAAAAGAGAAGCTTTCGACGAGTATTTTGGTACCAAACATGTACGTAGCAAGGCAATCAATATTTCGAGTTTGGTAAGCGAATGGAATATCACTTTTCGACCGCGATGTAATATTATAATATGCATATTAACGCACCGGCTTGCGAATCAACCTCGTACCCAGGATCTTTCTTTGGGAAAGACCCTGGCTGCGGCTGGTCACGTGCTTCATCAAAAATTTAGCGCCTGAGGGGGTGTGGGGAAAGTATCAAATTACATCAACATGCTTCCAGTGGGATATTCGTTAAAAACATAGATTTTGCGAATTATTACGTTCAAAATACTTGCTAATTTTTGTTTATTTTCTTTGCTTTGAATTTACAAGAACATTGTTACATTCTTACTTACAGTCAAGACTGTCAAGTCAAGAAACCAAGCAAATCGTTACTCGCAGTGCCCTCTCATGTTGTTATTCAATGCATGCTCTCTTCACACGCGAGAGCGGTTATAACAAACGTTTGTTGTAATGTTTTTAAAATAGGCCATTACATTTGTCTTTTTTCTTGTAAACGTTGATACGCTTTGCACCGATTCACTTGTTACTACGCGTCATGTTTATAAGATTTTTAAAAGAAACAGTTTGTCTAGGACTGGCCCAAATATTAGCAAATGTAAACATTTGATAATAGCCGAACAGAGAAATGTCCATAAGCATAGAGGAAATTTCAGTCATTGATTTATCTGGATTTACTACATAAATTCGTATTCGGTAATTATAGTAAGACTTCAGCCTTTTTCTTGGTCTCTATTAATCATTATATTGTGCTAATATACTATAATCTATATCACAAATTTACAGTGTCAGATGCGCACAGACCGTCATTTGGCGTCATACGAATAGACATAAATTTTCGAGTTTTCTACTTCTACTAACATTTTTAAAGTTTTCATTGTGAATCACCTGTTTATCTCTAATTCATTAATCATTTGCTACTTATATTTATTTGATAGTGTCAATGTCATATAGTGAATAATACGTTTACACACAAGCAATCCTGGATATGATATAGACGATGCAAGCTGTCCATTAAAAAATAACGGTATTCTATTTCACAAAGCAAAAATTTAAATCTCACTTGTATATATTAAGAATGCATATAAAGCAAAAAATTAAAGCTTATTCATGTCAAAACGAAAGCTGTTTAACAAAATTTATAAAGGTGGTGAACACTACTAAACAGTGCTCATTGAAAGACATGTATAATATAGTGACATATAATTTGCCGTTTGACTTATCTTTGGTGTATGATTTTAATACCGTAGATTTTCAACAGACAGCTATACTTTGACATATACCATAATCGTTGGATTCAGCAATGCCAAGGGCCAATTTTATAGTCTTTTGACGGGCTTTAAGTTTTTTGATAAGGCCTTTATATAGATCAACAATCTGGATACAGTTGGCGATATTTCGGAAATCAAAAGATCTCGCTATTTCGTTGCAATTCCACATCTCATCAATAAATAAATTCTTTTGGTCCGAGTATCAGGATAAACTTTAATACTAAATAAATAACAACCACACTGTTCGGTCTAGAGATATATATTTTCTTGTAGGTTTAATCACAGTTTAATATTGCCACGCTACACAAGCGGCAAGCGTGCTTTCTTTGGCAAGTCTGTAATGAAATCTGATCCAACTTGCTTGAATTGTAACTCGACACCAGATTATAGAGTAGAACGTCACGATATAAATATTAATTCAAGAGTTCTCTTTATAATTACGATTTCTTGTTGCAAATTTACAGTAAATTTCATCACTCAAAGTTGCAATTTTAAAACGCTACAAACACGCTCCTTTCCCACCCCTCTCACAGTTACAATTAAATTTACCTCCCAGAATCTGGGAGGCACGTGACCAGCCGCAGCCAGGGTCTCTCCCAGATGACAGACGGAGAGACCCTGGGAACGAGGTTGCTTGCGAATTTCAAAACAAAAAAGCAGAGCTTTTATCGGGTGTAACAAAATAATAAACGGCGGGAAGAAAAGCGATACTATTCGTCAAAACAAAATGATTTCAACAAATTTCGATAATTGAATATATTACGAGATATAGCCGTTTGAGCGTGAAACCTTTATAGATTCCTATGTAAAGTGAGGTAAAATGTTGTAATAATTATTAAATCGCAAAAAGCAGAGCGAGTATGCAAAGAAATGAGAACTTTTTTTCTTAATGTGTTACTATACCACCGCTCCTTCTGGAACCAATTTCAACAAATATTCAAAGTTTATATATAGCATGCTATATTGAAAATACTCCGCTCGCCTGATAATAAACATAGGGCATTGCGCAGCCATTGTTGCGTGGGTGCTCGTGGTAACGTGAAACCTGAGAAATGAAAATGTCCGTGATTTCTGGCCATGAAAACACAAAGAAAAATCATAAGCGTGTCGTGGTTTTATATGTGATAAAAAATCACGTTAATTTACATAAACTTTAGCTTTGATTTTCTCGGTTTAGACAAAGTTTATTTTAAAAATTACTTCGCCAATGAACTCGTATAAGATGAGTCGTTTTTGAAGCTATTTAAAGCACTTGTAGTCGTGTTTTATCACATATAAAACACTCTGCTACGCGTCGTGTTTTATATGTGATAAAACACTCCTACGCGTGCTTTAAATAGTACATAAAGGCGATTTACTAGCCACGATATCGTATGTCGATTCAAGTCTTGACAAGTTGTGAAAAGCAAACGATCCTGTATAGTGCACTTGTCATCCGAAATCCCCACCCCCCACCCCGGGGAAACGCGGGACATATGTGGGGAATAATGGGGCTTTAGACATTTCATTGTGCCACAAACGTCTACTACCGCACCTACATATTTTTGCATGTTTACTGTACAATTTTAATTTTAACAGCCAATCAACATTTAATTGTAATTGTTGCCACGAACCGGAATTAGAATTGTAAACATGCAAAAATACGTAGGTGCGGTCATAGACGTTTGTGGGAGTGGCGGCGATACGAAATTTTGATGCTTAAGCCTATTTTCAACGCGTCGACACGTAACACGTTATTCATATCATTCTAGTTTATTATACTGTAGCTACACGGCCATTGCAGCTTTTAGCGCAGAATTATTGTGAGTAGCCTATTCGACTCCGGTATACACTCATGCTGTGCATGGTCGAAGATAGCTATATATATTATATAGCTGCATATCACAGACTTGTAGAGATACAAGCATGGACTGTGTAACCGAACTTTCGTGGCGTTTATAAGGCCTGTTTTATACGTCGAATTTCGGTCGCGTCGAATGTAATTCAAACAATAGATAATGAAGCTTAATAAGATTTATCATCTCTTATCTATCGTCTTAATTGCATTCGACGCTCTTGAGAAATCGTTTTCAAAGCCGTGAAACGGCACTAGTACGGCCACTTTTTAGGTTATATCCCTTGGCGAATTAGTTTGCGTTTCCAATCTCGATACTAGCGCTTCGGACAACTCTATGAACTCAGTGATGAACTCTACTACAAGCGTCACAAAGACCTGCATATTATCTCATATATGTAATGTTTTGGGCGAAAAATAAAAAAAAATGTTAAAAATTATTTTCGAGTGGTTCAATTAATTATCTCGCGCGTTTAAAATAAAATTCTAGGATCATTGTGTTTGTGATGCTTCATTTTATCATAGTTAATAGAGGACAGGGTTTGGAAGGCCGGCAAACTTCAAAGGCTTTCGAGCTAATTAATTTCAGATGTTGGAAAGGTACGTCACGTGACATTTCGGGTGCATCAAATTCAGAAATTACTATAGCGTAGTATTACAGAAATATGCTATTGTGCTTATAAATTTTAAAATAAGGCATTGTTGTTCTTGTTATGGCTTCGACAAGTTCGGCATACGATTCAGAAAGCAAAATTCTTCCAATTCTGGGTGCTGGAGACGCAGATACAACGACGGAGGCGATTTTCATCGAACTATTTAGCTGCTGCAAATCAACGCGGATGAATTAACTGAAGAAATATCGCGTTCAGTTGAAGAAGTAAGTCCTTTATACTGTGTCCAATTAAACAATATGTAGTGAGATGCCTTAGACTTAATATTCGACTTATATTTGTCGTTTAGATTGAAGGATTAAAGCAATTCCTGTGCGAATATCGACGCAGTATTAAGCACTGGACAAATTCTACATACATTCTGTAGCTAGTACTGCCAAACTACCTAGGAAAACAAAACCCATGTTTATATATGACTTATCACGCATGAGAAGGCATTGTCGATCATTCGAGAGGTAGGGAAAAGGAAAGAATATTTTCATCCATGCAGAGAAGATAAAGTTGTGCTATTGATGCTGGTGAATATGCCCGAACTGTTGATTTTGCTAACCAGCAGATATTCTAAAGTTTATATTATATAAAACACTAAACAAACGGCATGCTTTAATTAATACCAGTATTAAATATCTTATTGTATATTAGACAATATAGTCTAGATATGAATGTCATAAATAGCAGGTCCTAAGGCTTACGTCCAATTGTCAATAACAAGTCCAGATATTGACCTACTATACAGTGATTCAATGTCTACTGACATGTAATTTGTTAGTTTTGATCATTCTGTCACATCAAAATAGAAATGTTATTCCAAGATTCCATGATATTTCATATTTCTTATTTGATATTTCCTCTGTATGGTACAATATTGACGTAAGGGTATTAAACTTAGTTCTTATTCCTCTCCAAACGCTTTGTAGACCAACTGTTGGATGCCAGAAGATTTTACCTATGTGCAAAGGATTATATACCCAGAAATATTATTTAATGTTTTTATTCCACTAGTAATTATCAGTGAAATCAGAAGAGCTTGGACCACTTGCTTATGTTGCTGGGGAGGGGCCCACAGGGCTGTGGGCACCAAATTCATTACTTAATGATATTGCTAGAATCCCTGAATCATGCTTTAGAAAGCACACAACAATTGGCCTCTCTCCTCCGCAGAGAAATGTATCTCAATACTAATCGTAATCATGGTCAACAGAGGCCTCCACGGAGGAGAGAGAGAATAGCCAAACCTACTTCTTTACATGTTGATAAAGTTGTCATAATAAGAACGTCCAAGCTCCTCCATTAGCAAAAAGTTTGTGGAATGACATTATTGAGCAATCTAATGTTGCAGTATCAAAAGAATGGCAGAGTCCTTGTGTTTTGAGAACATTGTTGAACTGTATGGCTGTTCAAAGTTTCTCATTTGCAGGGATATTGATATAAGTACAATTGCAACAAAAAAAACAAAAAGAATGAAAAAGGTTGACAGCCAAATTCAGATGTGAATAGTGTACTTATTCACTACGTCAGTGTGCTCCGATTCTAGCCGTTGTTGTCTTTCAAACCCCAATAACTCAGAGTTGAGCCTACCAATGTCTTGTATATTTGAAGTGAAACAAAATTTTGTGTAATAGTGATTTACAGTATATATTAATTAGTACAAATTTTTACAAATTATTTAACTAAGGTAATATATATTGTTCTTGTCTTATTGTTCACCTATTCATTTATAATCTGTTTCAATAATTATTTTATACCAATGTACAAATTATTGCATATTACTCTTTTGAAGCAGTGCTGTCATTAAGTTTACAAGTAGGTGGCCGAAAAATGATTGATCATTGAAGGCACAAGACTCCTAGAGGGGTCTGGGTGTATGCCCCCAACCCAAAATCTAAACAATCAGAAATGCCATTCCCTGCATTTTGGAAGGTGTTTTACAGAGTTCTTAAGATTACAAAACATCCTATCAAAGTCTGACCTGTTTGAAATAATTTAATCTTTTGTTTTAATTTTGATGTTCTGAAGTACAGGAAGTAAAAGGGTTTTTTTTTATTCACAGTTTTGTTTATATGAACTTTGTTGAGACAAAAGTAGGCAGCCAGATAGCCAAGTGGGCAGTAATTTTGGCCAGCTACAGGCCCTTAATGACAGCTCTGGGTACAAAAACCCCACAAAATTTCTCACTAGATTACTTCTTCTGTTTACGTTACGGCAAGGCCTCTTCTAATCCACCATACCATTTACTCCTCTGACCAGTGTGACGACCAGCAACGTTACCTGGCTCCAATTGTCGATGTAGAGAGGTATGCTTTTCTGGGGTAAATTAAAGGTAGGAATAGCACCAGCTACAATTAGCCAAGGTGGGAACTAAAGCAGAACATAAAATACCTGATTATATATAAGTTGACTTTATACAAGTATTGTAAATGTTAAGATAGTAATTATAATGACTAAAATTCACAGCAAACAAAATGGATAATAACTGTAAATGGGGCTTTCTTATACTATGACATGCCCAAACAAAATCCTGTTACTTTATTTTGCCACTTTTTGTTATTAAAATAGCCTTTGAATATTGTATAATACTTTGTTTTAATACTGTATACGAAAATGTTTCTACTGTCCTCAGTGACAGTATTCTGAATTTATGTATACCTTCATTTTATGAACACAAGGACTAACTGTTATATAAATATGACCGAAACGCACTTTTATGCAAATCATTAATAAATATATATTTCCTGCTCCATATGGCTACAAATTTGATCATTTGATACATGAAATATATACGGCAAGCTTCTGCTAATGAAGCTGTAACTTACAAGCGTTCATACCGAAATATCAATACCTCTACCAGAGAAACCTGTTAGTTAGTCATAAGAAAATAACTTACATGTTTCGGCCGGGTCTTCCCAAAGAGTCTTTCACAAACGTGAAGTGTTTGTTGAGCGATTTGATTTCGTAAACTTGCATCTATCTCGCGATCCAGCGTTCTTTGTGACAAGCCTCGCCAACGCTTCCCGAATTTTCGTCAATAAATCATCGTCTTTTGTTGGAATTCAAAAAATACTAACACCAAACTGTTTTCTACTAGTCCTGCAACCATATATGAAGCAATTTGCTCCTGTGTTTGGATATTCATTCTATAAAAGACGTTTTTCAAGTCCTACAGCCTCCTCTGTAATACATTCTCCTAATACTAAATAGATTTTGATGCACCCGTATTGTCACGTGACAGAGAACAATAACATAATTTGGCCACGCCCCCAGCTTCCAAACCCTGTCCTCTATTAACTATGGTTTTTGTCAGTGACTTTTTATAAAATTATAATTAAATATTTAATTTTATAAATACATGTAAAAGTAAAAGTGAAATATGTACCTCGATGGGGTCTAATGATTCCACTTTGATAACAAAAGGCAATGCCAAAGACTTTGTAGTGGTCTCAACAATCTATTGATATAATTGAATAGAATTATTGACTAAAGTACTTAGATTTAATTTACAAACCAGTAAAGGAATGAAATTTACCTCAACATCGCTCCAATCTTCGTCCATTTTGCTATGATAGATCAAAGTATTAAAGCGAGGATCTAATCGAGCCAGCTTAGTGAATTGAGCGCGCTCAATTTTAGGATTTTAGGCAATTTTATGCGGGAAATTAGATTGGAATTTCCGGTTTCGGTCGTTTCCGGTTTCGGTCGTTTCCGGTTTCGGTCGTTTCGGTTTCCGTTCTTTACAGAGACCCCAAAATTTTAATCAAGCATTTGAAATTGTGCTGAAAACAAGCATCAAATCATACATGCAAAAATTTATTTTAATTCAACCAGGCTATTGACCTAGCCAATTCTTCAGCAGGCAACTCGTTTATGAGCAAGTCACTAATCATGTAAAGTTAACAAATGCTATTAGGTACCAACAAAATGTGGCAACTGTCAACCAACCAACTCAACCATCATCAATCACCAGTTCTGTTCCACCAATGGCTTCTGTCATTCCAGTAATGGGTCCACATATCGATAAATAGTAGAGAACATGTTCTATTGTCTTTCCACCCTTTCTTTAAAAATGTCTATCAACACCATTTCCAAACCAAAACCATGGTGCATTAAATGTCTTGTACTAAAGGTAGTTTATGGTGGAGGGACACCACCAGAAAGGTATATAACCAATGTAAAGACCTCCAATATGGCACACTTAAATTGCCTGGACAGTTATATATATATATATTTATTTAGCTTTGCCAACTAGGGCAGGGTCACCACAACAGCATGTGCCAATTACTGTGGGCCCAATGAGGTTTGAATCTGTGGCTTCAGAGGTGAAAGGCAAGTGCGCTAACCACTTTGGTACCGAAGCCCCATATCCCCCTAGTCTTGTCAATATATGCAGTTTCGTTTTAAATCAATTCATAAATTTGGATCATGTTCACAAGCTTAAAAAGAAGGCATTATATAACAATGCAGCATTAATAGTTTGGATTGCAAATATTTCACACTGGAAGACAGAGATGTACAACCTGTTCAAGAATTGGCTGACAATATCAGATGAGTACCCAACCTAAAAACACTGATACTGCTATGCAACTTACATGGAAAGTTAAAAGCATTTTTCAATCCAAAGCCAACCAAATGAATTTCCTGTCTACATTTACACCTCCCTAACACTTCTTATGTTCTCATGGACAGCTGAAGTATCTATAAAATTAAAGTGTTCTATATTTCTAACAGATTTATTCTCCAAAATTAAAAACAATCCATCAAACACTTCATTTCAATTTTCTAAGAATAAAAACAGTAGAAGAAAATGAACTGTTACAATGCCAGAAATAGTTGCAGAAAGAAGAATGAAAGATATTGTTTTGCCATTTGGTTTCCATGGAGAAATACCACCTGATGAAGATACAAGATGCAATCTACCATGTTGCAAGGTAAAAAATTATGAATGGTCCACTCTGCAAGGTTGTTGGCACTCATTCCATGACAAGTGCTTGGGAGATCTTTCTCACTGCCCTTTGTGTAAAACATTGCTCAAGCAAAAAATAGAATAATTGGGCAAAATTGCAAGGGAAGAATTTACAAAATTACAGAGACGTTATGTATGATGATGAGGGAGATGATGATGATGAAGTGCTCCAGATGACAGCAACTACCAGGCATCATGCAACTTGCACAACAGCAACCTGTACTATCAAATACAGTGCATTCAGCAAAAGGTGAAACCACAACTAATTCCTGTAATTCACCAGACACAGTGCATTCAGCAGGGGGTGAAACCACAACTAATTGCCAAATCCCTTCGGGACAGAAGTCATCTACATACACATCCAGCCAAGAGATCAATCATGGCGACAATTTTGTCATGCTATATAAATTTAAAATCATATTCATTTCTTTAGAAATTGATTGTTTTTACATTATACGGATATATTTGCATAGCATGACCAAATTGTCGGGCTGGCTTTGCCATTGTGGCTATAATGATCATGGTCAAGACTTACTTGCAAATAAATAATTCAAGAAATAATAAGATTCATATCCAGGAATACTTCCTAAAGTAAATTACAACATTAAAACAGTGTAAATATTCAATGGAAAATTTTTTTATATATAAACTTTATTTAGATGTTTGCCCCAAAAGCCAAGGCTTAACAAGGGGGCTCACATATTACAAAGGATACATTAGTTTTTTTATTAGTATTTTGGGCCCCAAGTTTTATTAATTAATATAGTATTTATTGTAATTTATTGCAAAATGGTGGAGTATTTGACCAATATTGGGGCTTAACATTAATAGGTGCATGAGAACCACCATTTCTCTCATCTCAACTTTATCTCAACTTTATCTCAATTAGTTGTGTAACAGATTTACACAAAATACTGTTAAAAAAGGCCAAGTGGGCCTTCATTGCTATAAAGGGCATTCTATCCAATGGCATTCTAAAACCAACATCTCCATGGCATTGTTCTCTAAAGCATCGAGCAGCGTAATAAATCAGTTTTTTGACCAGTATGAAGTACAGACATAGCCTTGGCAACAACTGCCAACAAGTGGGAGGAACATTTTGAGGGACAAATTTAGCATCTAAACCAGGGTTAACTTTTACCAGCCATTTTTGAAACAGGTGGATGAGTAGTTGTTTTCGTTAATTGTCACTGGGTTAGTTTTGAAAATCTAGAAGTCATATCAATACCATTACAAAGGGAGGTGAACAAGGTCTTTGTCACTTGATGGAGACAATCTTAGCATCAGAGATCTTGCAGATGTATAAGGTCAGTACAGATTGGAAGGACTGATATTACCTCCAAATTTAACGATGATGCTTAATTCTTGCAGACAAAATCATTGACAAAAATAGAATCCAGCCAAAATCACAAATCTCAAATCTAAAACATCAGCCAAACAATAAATTTTACTTATGAAATATTGTTAGAAGTGCTTTAATTATTTACATACTTAACTGCAATATATACAATCCATAATATATCGAAACTTCTATAGTATATCACATTTCTTTAGAGAAAGCAAGTATAGCAGTTCATTATCGATCTGAGTGACAAGGCAGCATATTTTACAGAGCTATATTCAACAGTGAATTTGTGGGACTGAGGGGTCCGGCTGGATTGAATGAAAGATACTTTTGTTTAACTAATCGTGAAAAAAATAGTGACATCAAACCACAGAAATTTGAGAGAGGTAAAAATAAACTGGAAAATGACACTTACCTTTCAAGATACAGTTCCAATAGGTAGATTTACTGTTGTAAAAGTAGTATCGTGTGAAATTCCCCCCAAAATTTAAATAACAATATAAAAACAATCGATATAACAATATGTCAATTTTCGACGACACAAGGCTTGGTGCGAGCATGAGGAAAATGGTGCAATCAATTGGTCGAGATATTCGCCCAGATTCGCTAAGTAGGCTGTTTAACCTCCTCTGGGTAACTAAAACGTGCTGTTTCTTATATGGGAGGATAAAAAAGATGTAATTTGTGTTCAACAAAAAAGCAGAAATGTTCCAACATGTACTCATGAAAAGAAATTTCTACTAAACAATGATGACAATGGAAGGAATGCATGTATTATTTGACACCCACATGCCTATGTTGATAATGATATCAGATCTAAGGTGATTATATGTCAAGATAAATCTAATATTAACCAAAAGATTGTCTGGCATTAAGACAGAGTAAAGTTGGATGCATCTGATCAGATAATGCTGTGATGCTTTGTGTGCTAAAATGTAAATGTTTACATATACAGGGAGCTAAAAATAGTGTTGTCTTCGAAAATAGTCATACACTAAAACCTTGAAGAGCAACTGTCTACAAAAATCAAACAAAATGAGAAATATGTGGCAAGGCTCAAAATTTTAATTTTGCTCTACTTTTGAATTTAAGTTGACTATGGTGAAGTGTGAAACGTTATGTGGTTAGTTTTTAAAAATACTCTTTTGTTTATGCAAAAATGGCAAAAAAATGTTTCAGCTGTGAGGACCGATTTTCGCAATCGAAAAATGGCCGAAATGCGTACGTTTACTTAATGCTGGTATCCAAACCCTAAATCCAAATAGCCTTATTATACTTTCTGCTAAAGGTGCATCACTCCCTCGTTTATTAATAGTGGTTTTATGATAAGTGAACAACTGACAAATTTTGTGCACAATAAAGAGCAACGGGTACTGATTTTTAATATGTTTGTCATTGCATGTAAAAACGTGGCAGATTTCTCCATTTGCCTTCCTTTCAAATCTTATGGGATTTTGCACAAGCACTATTGAGAAACTGCCCTTTTCAGAAATGTATTATTTATTTTGGGCAAATAAATTCACACGCTTCGAGAAAGAGTTAACTTTGGTTCATTAAATATGCAAAAATCACTGTTTGGCGATTGCGTGACTAAAAACCTCTTGAAATAAACTCACTTAAAACATCATTGTTCTTTGCCTCTAGTTTAGAGAATATGAATAAATATACATACCTTGAATGCAAAAAGTTCCTTTGAGCTGTTCCACTTTTGGAGTTATCCCTAACTTAACTACATAAACTCAAAGTTCAAGGAGTCCAGCTAACAGAAATCAGCTAACAATTTACAGCTCAGTTGAAAGTAGCAGTTGAGGATTTAAGTACACAATTCCGTCAAAGTACGGATTTTTCATGGCAATGTAACTAAATTTACAGTGATAGTATGTCTTTGCAAAATTGGCACCATAGAGTATGCTTCCGTCGTTTGTTAGCCCTCGAATTTGGTTGTCGATGTGGCAGATAATGACGTTTTGTGGGTGACAGCGGTATGTATCCACAAACTCTTGATTACATCCATAACATTTTTTAAATATTGTTTTGCATAATGCACACTTCGAGTGCCAGGTGTGAGCCCTTTTGGTGTGGTTGCTGTATTTGAGTGTGTTGTTGCCGCTGAGGCTGCTGTTGTGGATCATGCAATTGTTGTTGCTGAGATTGCCGAACATATTGCGACCATTGGTCAGGCTGTTGAAAGCACCGACTATGTTCTTGAGGCTGCTGAGGTAGCTGGTCATACTGAGACTGTTGCTGCTGGTGAAACAGTGACTGTTGGCGAGGCTGTTGTTGATATTGTAATTGTTGCAACTGTTGGTGAGGATGCTGGTGAAACTGCGATAGTTGCTGAGGCTGAAATTGTAACTTGGAATGATGCGATTGGTGTTGAAGGATCGGACAGTTTACAACATGACCTGTATAAGCAGCGGGCATGGCAAATGTAGTTTGTGTGTCATTTGTTACTGTAGTTGGTCCTGTAGGTTTCCAAGACTCTAAAACTTCTGAATACTTTCTATAAGACACTTTACTGATTTCATTGGCTTTAAGTCCCTGCTCTGAAGGCTGATATGTTTACACCTTTCTTACCTCTCTTCCTCTGGAGCTTCTTTCTTAAGCCATCTATGTATATCTTTAAGCAGTCAAGGTTGTTTGCAACAGCAATTAGTGTCTTCCCAAATCCCAAGAGACTTGTAGGTTGCGCAGTTGCACTCAAACTGGTTCTCATTTTTCAGAGGTTTGACCAGCAGTGGCGCTTTACCATGCCTACTTGTGACCATCATCATCTGTGGATCACTTGATGCAGCCTGCATTATTGCCCTGGGGTCGTTTAGTAAAGCTTCTGCATTTCAAGAGAAACACTGGGAGTTTCTTGGTAAGCAGTCTTCAGGAATACCAAACTCGGCAAATGACACAGGCAAATGACACAGGCAAATGACACAGGCAAATGACACAGACAGATGCTTTGCTGAAATGGGATTGACAGTTGCTACACAGCAGGGATGACAGTCGCAGAACTTACAGTGGTGGAACCTGTTGAACTATGGATCTTCCTCTGACCATGTTTCAATGCAGAGCAACTGGCAACAAAGAAACGTTTTTAGGCCCTGTTTACATGAGACTGGGACAAAGTCAAACCGAAATGAAAATTGAAATTGTCAACATGTTTACAAGAGACCGGTACAAAAAAATTAATTCCCCTTGCCAAGTGATTTTCTTTTTTACATGACTTTTGTTAGCATGTGTTGTTCCAGTGTCGAGGTTACAGCCAAGACCATCTGAAATGTATTTGTGTTTACATTTATCCCAGTCTGAATTCATGCCGGTCTGAAGTTAGTCAGTTCGGTCCAGCAGGGGGAATGACTTGACACTGGTCTGAGTTATTTTCATCCTGGTCTCATGTAAACATCTATTATAAATAATACTGTGACCAAAACGAAATGGTTTAACTTCATTCCGGTCTCATGTAAACAGGGCCTTAGATGAGCTTTGTCTTCTTGCAATAAATCCATCCATGTATCGTATTCGGATGAAAACTTGCTGTAGGCACTATCCACTTGTAGGGCCCTTCGTCGTACACAGATTTGACGGCATCTTCGTAAAGGCGCAAAACTCTACCTGTCAGGCTTTGAAGAGCAGTAGTCAGTGTAACATCCTTGTGCTTTGCACCCTCTGCGATATCTTCAATCTCGTTTTTGGACATATAATGTAGCCACTTCACAGGGTTCTGTTGAAACCCTTGAGAAACACAGGCTTGCTCACAAATGTACTTTGCGATCTTGTTGCAGATCTGAAGTTGCTTGTGTTTGGTGAAATAACTTGTGAACTTTGGAGGGTGATTTTTTAGTGAAACAGTTTTCTATTTCATCCCACTTCTTCTTGAAGACTGCTACCTTCTCGTCAAACTCGTCTTCGCTCTTGCAAGCAGTTGGCATCCTCTTCAGCCATGTTGAGCCCAGCGAAAATATCTGTGAGGATCATCTTTCTTTGATGTATAGGAAAATTCGTTTCTACCAGCTTTCTTTCTTGCTTTAAATTATTGTTATTTTCCCAATTAGCAAGGGTCATCTTGGTCATTGACAGCAAAATCACTTGTATGCCGATCAAGATCAGATGGTTCAACTTTAACTTGGGATAGTTCACTGATGAATGAGAGACGTTTTCTAGCTGATCCTGGTCGCCAAGTGATTTTACAATCATTGTCATCAGACGTTAAATCAATAAAAGGACCATTTACGCAGTTTTAATTAGCAATTTCTTCATTCCTGTTTAGGTGTGAAATCTTTTCATTTTGTTGTCATACCCTTAAATACAATACTTGTTTTATATGGATCAATGGAGATAATTTGCAAACAGAAGGAAAGAAAATAACAAAATGGACATTTATGAAGTAAAAGTAAGCAACAATATCGAAGAAATGTCAAATAGGAAGCTATTAAAGTTTCTTCATTTAAACATTGTCTTGTGAAGACTTATAATAAGTTTTTTTTCTGTGTTGGTGTAATGTACTCGGGTGAATATGATGCTTGTGATGTTACAAGCTTGAAAATTATGCCTGGCCATTGTGGGAATCAAACCTACAACCTTTGGAATACTAGCCCAATGCTCTGTCAACTGAACTACACGGTCAGATTGGTTCGAGTATGTGATATTTCAGAACTGAGTCTAGTTCTTTTGATATCAATGTGATCTGGTGATCATTGATTTTTTCTGTGTTGGTGTAATGTACTCAGGTGAATATGATGCTTGTGATGTTACTCTTGTGATCCACACTGGGCAAGCTTGGAAAATATGCCTGGCCACGGTGGGAATCGAACCTATGACCTTTTGAATACTAGTCCAAAGCTCGTAGGTTTGATTTCCACTGTGGCCAGGCATATTTTTCAAGCTTGCCCGGTGTGGATATACATACACTCATTATACCAACACAGGAAGGAACTAGACTCAGTTCCGAAATATCACAAACTTGAACTGACCTGACCGCGTAGCTCAGTTGGCAGAGCATTGGGCTAGTATTCCAAAGGTCATAGGTTCGATTCCCACCCTGGCCAGGCATAATTCTCAAGCTTGCCCAGTATGGATATACACTCAAGTAACATCACAAGCATTATAATAAGCTGTTTATTAACTCATTACTCATTAACTCATTACTCATTAACTCACTGCATTGGCAACAGGGTAAGTCACCTTGTGCGCCCTGGCTGACATGTCAACTTGTGGGCACGATTGTCTGTTAGAGAATTGATCAAAAGCTTGCAAAGATTTTCAATTTTAAAACCTTATTTTTTACAAAACCTGTGACAATCGCAATATGTCACAAGATGGGAATTTGCAGCAAGTTTTAACATATAAAGATGGTGTAAAACAAAAGGGAGTGTGTACATGTTTTAAGTCCAGTTCTTGCCCGAATCAAGTCATGACATGGGGCTTTGGTGGCACAGTCGTCAGTGCAAGCACCTTTCAAAGAAAGAAGTCCTTAAATGGAGGCTTAGTTGCTGCTATTTAAGCAATTTCCTGGCATTGTAGTGTTAGAAGAAGACATATTATCTTATTTCATTTGTTGCACCTTTGCAAAGGGTGACCCAGTTTAGGAATAAATGCACGGACACTGAGAAAAAACAAAGAGAGCAAATTTCATCTATATGTGAAAAGTGCAGACGAAAGAACGATCCAGAAGAGATTCAACAGTAACCTCTACCTTGACAGCTAGCAAAAAAAGCATTAGTCGAAAAGTGTGTTGCTTGGTCTTTAGAAGAAGGCTTTAGAAGAATCGCCCTTAAACCAGCACAATTATTTACCGTCCCTTCACCATCAACTAGTACTATCAATGTTCAACCACCACTCCATGCACCACCCTGCAGGATCACCTCTTACCGAAGAGCTTGCGATTTTTTAAAAAAGTGGTCTATTGGGGATTAAGGTATTGGATACTGATCACTCCGAAGTCAAATTTAAAGTTTCTGGTGTAATATGCATTATGACATTTCTGTCCATAATAGGAAATTGAAAAAACAGCGACATTAACATCATCCCAGAAGAAGAAATTAATGAAATTATCAAAAGCTCCCCAACCTATCTGGCAAAAACTGTTATGGCAATACCATAAGTGAAGAATTGCGTGTTCAAACTCTTGTTAAAGAGTATCAACACATAATGCCAAAAACTTTGCACAAGATCCAATGAAAATTCATCCCCAATGGAAATTTTGCCCCTCCCCAGTCCAATGGAAATTTTGTCCCCCCCCCCCCAAGGAGAATATCCTAACATACTATTGTAGTATTGGCAAGTTTTACCATTCAGAGATTTACAAACTAATATTGAAATAATGCAAGTAAAAAACAGTTTCATATATATGCGCATTGACTAATGAGTATGACAACTTATAAGCCATACATTTTCCAATAACGACAAAACGTGGATGCTAAACAATTTTAACAATACTTTAATAATACTTATATTTTATACATTTTATAATGTGGTGGTATAGACCTAAATAGCACAAACAAGATCGATATTATAAGAATTACCTAACCTATTCAATTATTTTCAATCCGAACAACAATGTCAATGACTCAATGAATAATTTTATGAATACTGCATCGGAGAAAAAAGTAGATTTTCAGTGCTGTTTGATTATAAAAAAACATAACTGTAGTTTATGCATGTATCAGTAAAAAAAACAAGTCTTGACAATACCAATAATTACAATAACCACCACAGTGATTACCTATTAACAATGAGTTCTGATGAATGCCAGATTCAAGGAGTTGTTATATCAGTTACTCTTTGTTCAGGTGGAGAACAAAGAAGGTAATATAATTCACAAATTATTGCATTTCCCAGTGCTGTACTGTATTTGTGTGTGGATATACACTCAGAGTAACACCACAAGTTACATTTATGATATTAAAATAGTCATCAGACATGGTCTTGTTTCATTAATCTTCTCTTCGTTCCTCACCCGCTCCAGGCACAAAATTTCACCCCAAAACGCAGGAAATGGCATTTTAGAGGCTCTACATTTCAAAATTTCCTGGGGGCACATGCCAACGCCCCCCCCCCAGCACTTCTTGTGCCTTCGCCGCTTGTTGGACAGATTAACATCCGCCCCCTTAAATTTCTAAGCCCGTACACCTATGATCCTGAACCCGAGATGGCTGATTTAGAAAGCATCGCAGTGTAAGTGCAAATATGAACTGAAAATACTGTTCATTGCTAATATTGCCACGTTTTTAAATGGACTCACTTTCTCACAGATATACGTCATTTTCATTTTGAATAGGTTATAAGGGGATTGCTAAAAGAAAACGATGCCAAAACATATATATGTTGGGAAATTGATAATTTTATAATTAAAAGTTAATATTTTTAGGCGATTTTTCATTTGTAAAAATATTCCTAAAAAATTATTGTGTTACCATGACAACTACTTTAGATACCTCATGTTCGGAAAATCTATTATCAGGCCAAAAAAAATGTGGGTTTCCGGACCCTAAAACTTTTTTATTGGATCATGCTTGTAAGTGTTTCCACTTAGAGAGAAAAGTTTGTGGAAAATTGAAATTTGAGGCAATATTAGGGAAATTTATCTTTCGACATGAAAGCACTGACTAAACAAAATGGCGTCCAGTTGTTAGGAAAATTAGAAAAAAAGTTTTAAAAAAAAAGTTAAAAACTTAGGTAGGGTAGGTCGGTTTTATAAGAAACCAGAAACCCACATATTATTTTTTTGCCTCATTATAAAATAGGCTGGATCGATATACCGGATATATCCGATATACCGGTATTTGTTTAAATACCGGTTTGGCGATATTGACAATTTAAAAATAGCGATATACCGACATTTTGGTATTTTGCTGCCTAATACCGAAATGAAACGCTATTTCAAGTCAAACTTGCTTACAATCACGTTTAGAAAGCAAAGTTAATACTCACAGATGCATGACATGCATGAAAACCTTTTCTGGCTTTTCAAGTTTTTTTATCGGGCAGTATGAGAAGGTAACTTTTTGTTGTTTTTAATCTTATTTAACTGCCATGCTAACTTGTTTGTGTTAGTTTTAAAAATGCAACGTTTTTTATGTTTATAACTATTAGCAGCTTACTGAAACACTATCTGAATTTATATAGCTACAAAACGAATATTTTTCTGAATGATTCAACACTTCGACGCCCTACTAATAATTGCTGCTTAGCGCTGTTAATTGTTAACATAGCTTGATAATGCGAATCTTGTGACATCTGCACTAATAACAGTATGTGCCATATTAATATTTTGTCAAAACTCGATTTTTCTTGACGGTCAGCACTTCAGTTTGGCTTAAAAAAAAAACACATTAAAAATACTGGAATACCGGTATTCGGTATTTGCGATATCGATCCAGCCTATTATAAAATGCAAACTTGTTCCCAGTTCCCAGGTAATTTTGCAGATACAGCAGTTTATGAAAAGGTGTGTAAAGTGCTGAAGAAAACCTCACTGGTTAAAGGAATAAAGAAAGCATCATCTATTGCCCAAACAAGTTGTCTGGAGGGCTTCCATTCAGTGTTTAACCAATTTGCTCCCAAAATGATAGCTTACTCATACCAAGGAATGTACTGCAGGTAAACGTGCACTGTATTGTATGTGTATATACTGTAAACTTATCTTTCATTCCTAACCATTTGCAATTGGGAAAAATGTATTCATAGATCCTCTGGCAGTAATCAAACCAGAGACTGGGCATTCTGGTGCTTGTGACCACACTGACAGAGTCCAGTTGCTAAGATGCAACTTTAATTCATATTAGGATGACTCCAATGGTCAGAGCACTGCATTAGAATATACTACTGAATATTGCAAGCCACCATTTCAAGCTACATGGTTAATTTAATACAAATATCTTGGTTTTCAGGCACATAATCGCAGCTGTTTATTTTAACATCAATCTTCACCGCGATAATCGAAAAAATGAAGATGGCAGTGAGCAGATGAAAGTGGTTTCTCCAAAATTTAAAAATGGAGAAGCTACAGTGCAAAATGTCAAAGTGAAACCAAATTATGGTATAAACTATCTATGAACTGTACCAAGTGACTGAAAAACATAAAGATGGTTTTATTTTTATTAGATTATGTTGAAGAAATGTTCAAAAAAATTAAAGGTAGCAAGAAAAGAGTTGGAGACAATGGCACCTGCTCCCATGAACACTATGCTAGAAAAGCAGCCACAAAAGGAAGCAACAGAGGCATGGAGAAAGAGAAAATCAATGGTTGTACAAGAGGTCCCAAGGACTTTGCAAGGTACTGTACAGCTTGTGCTAAGATATTCTTAACATAATTTTAACCCATTAAACTGCAATATGCCCTGCTGTAGTGTGTTACTCTGCATGGGTGGATTTACTAGGGGGGGGGGGGTAAACCCTCTGGAGTCTCTCTAATCCCTCTTATAAAGTGTTCAACCCCACCACCAAAATTTTGCTTCACCCCTTCTATTTTGTGTGAAAGCATTTAATCCTAACTCCAGCCGACGCTAAATCAGTGGTGCCGCTTGCACCCCACTACAAATTTTTCTACCTGTCCTTTTAAAGGGGCAGTATGATCAAAATTTTTATTTTCTTAAACAAAAGTGCTCATAAAACTGTATAATAACTTGTTTTGAAGATTTTTGTTCCCATGCTTAGTTCTTGAGATATTTTATTTTGTTTGTAACCATGTGACGTCATCTACTCAATTACATATATAATGAGATATCAGCAGTTGTTGTGTATCTTTACTATATTTTTATCAAAATATTTCGAAAGATGCGGCGCATTTGTTAATTTAACCTGCATCATTAAGCATACTGTGTATATATACAAATCGATCAAAAATAACAAAGATACGCAACAATTACTTATATCTCATTATATATGTAATTGAGTAGATGACGTCTCAAGAACTAAGCATGGGAACGAAAATCTTCAAAACAAGTTATTATACAGTTTTACGAGCATTTTCGTTTAAGTTTTGGTTTAAGAGAATAAAAATTTTGATCATACTGCCCCTTTAAAAAAATGAATATCCACCCTTGTTACTCTGTCTAATTGCCAGATGATTTTACTTGTCAAGGAGAGAGTCATGTGCATTTCTTGTCTTATAAGTATTGTATAATTTTCTTGTGTTTTAGTTACGAGTCCCTTTTCAAGATATTGTCGTACTTGCAAAAATCCAATGAAAGGACACAAGAATGTAACAGATTGTCCAAGAAACATGCAGACATAACTGTTTATTGTATATATTTGAATTAAATAAAACAGAACCACCTATATTTATGTGGCAAAGCTTTGAATCAGTAGTAACTTCAGTGCACTAAATTTAGACTTACAGATTGAAAGAGTTTTGCAATATATGTACATAGTTTTTCTGCAAAACAAAATGAGGTGTAGTTAATTCACAATGCATAATGTTAAGTTTAGAAAAGCAATATTCTTCAATATTCTTGTTGCATAATTATCAGTCATCCATCTCTTCATCTTGAAAACCAATAAAATGTTCACCCTTTTCTTTTGGTTGGAATTTGCTTCTTATTGCATGATAAGCACATGCTGGAAGTGGAATCCTCTTTTTACCAACACGGTCATACACAAGGTGTATGAATTCACGATATGCCACACTTCTCATGAACCTATTCAATGTTTAAGTTAAGTTTTAAATTTACAAGTCAATGTGTATATATGTGTATAAATCAACCATATAAATGCAATGAGTGGGATAAACTAGGTATGTTTATCTGAGGTACACTGGTACAGTAGACATTACTTGGCTTTTTGTCAGGGCTAAAAGAACCAAAATACTAAAATATTCTAAATATACCCATGAGCCTCCACCCTCCTGATTAGGTCATTCTCAATGACCCGTTCAGAAGAAAGGCTATTTACTGACAATTCATGACAAAGAGAGCTTACTGGGCCAAGGAGGGCCTTGTACACCCACCCCACCGAACCAATAGGATGCGCAAGAACTTACGATTAAACCGTTCATATATTCACTTTTGTTAGTTTTATATTTTTATTCTTTTATTTTTTATCAGGGCTCCACTGGAAATCACTTTCATGAATGGACCCCCTGACTAAATATTGTAATTATTATTATTACATTATCAAAAGGTGTATTCCATTGACTTACGCCTCTCATTTGAACCAGTTTGCTGATAAGTCCTTTTATCGGGTGTTTGGAAAGCACAGACCAAGGAAATCAGACCTCAGACCCGAAAATTCAGACACCGAAAATCCCTAGATGGGTCTCATGTTAAGAACCTGGACAACACGAAGAGCTTTGAAGTACATTAACTCCTTTTCGACCGGCTCCTAGAAAACTATTCCAGAATCGGAATAGTAATTTTCAAGGTTCATATCTTTGGTTCAGTTAATGCTATTTAGATGAAAATACCGCCATTCGATTCAGTATAAAATTCTCTACTAATTCCTAACGATAGTTTTAGTCTATGTCAACTTTATAGTGATTTACGAGCTTTGAAAGTCAAGCGAGATCGTATATTATCAAATTACACAATTGTCTGAACAAAAATACAGACTAGCCATACCTTTCGCCGAACATAACTTCGGCCCCTTCGGACGTGTCTTCTTTGTAATAGTCTTGTTAAAATCCATGTCAACAGCCGTATTTTGGGAGTCATTTGCGAGTCTGTATCTTCGAATTTGACAAAAGTACACAGCATTTCCATTTCTGGCCCAATTGTGTGTTTAATCGGAACCAGAAATAAATTTAAAAACATCAAAACAATGCGAGGATTGTATCGTATGACTCTGGAAATGCGAACAATCAATTCTAAAGGTCAAAGTGCACCTATACGTGCGAGTTTGACGTCATCCCGGCTAAAGGAGCTCCTTATTGGCCAAGTATTATGCAATACACGCGCATGTGAGTAAAACCCGATATTCAAAATAAATATTTCTACTCGCCATATCCAAACGAAACTTTCTACATGAAAGCACTTGAATACAAAGAGTATTTTACTCATATAGCCGATGTGAAGCAATGAAAAGTTTAGAAGATATTCTACTTTTTCTTTATATGAAATACAAAATGTTTGGCCAAGCCGTGAGTAAATATATGATTGTTTCGGTTTGTCTAATGTTTTGACGGCATTCGACCCCCCGTTTGAAATGTTATTTTGTGAGGATTCCAATGGTGGTGTTAGTTTTCAAAGGGGGGTAAATACTCGCAGAAATATTTACATGCAAACATTGACTCATATTATGTAATACAATACCGTCAGTCGATAAAGAGTTACTATCTATATATGTAGTCATAACATTGGTAGTCCTAGCCGTTGCCCATTGGTATACATTTTGCTTGTTCGGTCCACAATTATTCTTTTGATATTGGGATACCGATAATGGATATTCTCATTGTAAAAAGCGGCCATGCTTGATTGCTTTTCTTGAGTGAGACCACCGAGGTCCTTCCACCGAGGTCCTTCCACTAGCACTTACATTTTTCAATTTCGAAATAGCTGGAACATATATGTGTCACGGTATTTTATTTTTTGCAAATTGCAATTTAAATGATTTCCCCCCAGTTTACTTAAAGCTATAATTCTTACAACTCTGCATTGCTAAATGGCTAGACAATTAAATGAAACAGTGACAAAATTTAAATAGACGAAGTTGAGGTGAATATTCCCGATAATTACCGAGCCTGAGGCAAATAATTGTTTTAGTATTTTTACACAAGTATTTTGTGTTTTGAGGACTGAATATAAGTGCCTCCAAAAAGCTGGGAATGCCGTTTCAGTGTACCAAAATTTAGAAAAAAATTTCGGGTAGCATACCTCCAGACCTTCCTAGTTTGGAGTCCATCCCCGCACTTTTTGGGATAGATTGACACCCTTGTATGTGGCACTCCATGCCTAATGTTTTGAGCATTAATCCCAATACCGAACGCCACAGTTACAAACAGAAGCTGAAGCATAGATGTCACAGATAGTAATTAAGCTGCCATATATTAATGTTAAAGGAAAGTCCATCCTCTTCGCTTTCAATTCAATGATCAAAGGTTCTAAAATGGCTTTATCTTTGCCTTTACCACTCTGTTGCTTGGATTTAAAAAAAAAGATGTTTGGTTGGTCAGGATTTGATTCAATGATCACAGGATTGTACATTCCAAGGCATGATGCAATTTCTTTCTTCGTCTGTATTGTTGCTGTCATGGCCAAGATTGGTACACCTGGAAACAAGCTTCCCCACATACCAATCTTTCCTTAGCAAGACCTGAAACTGCTCCTACAATAAACATGTAGAGTTTTTGTATCTGCGAAGCAGATATATATGCTATCGCAAACGTGACCGTACCGTAACCGTACCGTACCGTATCCCTAGCCATACAGCGACGAGCTTATATAATTTAAGCCAATTTAAGCCAATCAGCAATTAGCTTACATCGAGCATACACCTAACCTGCGAACGGGCATAGATGGCGGGCTTGCCTCGTGGTATTGCAAGTGCTCGCCATTTTGGATTGAAAAATACGGTATCTTTTGAATTATTCCCTTATTTTCTCGCCATTCTACTATCAACATGGAAACTTTTCCTCATCTGGTAAGTAGTCAATCTCTTCGGAGATCAAAACAATCTCTTCGGAGATCAAAACAATCTCTTCGGAGAGCAAAACAATCTCTTCGGAGAGCAAAACATTCTCTTCGCAGAGCAAAACAATCTCTTTGGAGACCAAATCAATCTCTTCGGAGAGCAAAACATTCTCTTTGGAGAGCAAAACATTCTCTTCGGAGAGCAAAACAATCTCTTCGGAGACCAAATCAATCTCTTCGGAGATCAGAACAAGCAAATACATATAACATTGTACATTTATACCGTGCGCATAGTAGCTATATTAATACGAGTATAAATTCAGGTCAATGTGCATGTAGTTGCAGATCGACTGTACGGAAATTAACTAAGCAAGCAAATGCTAAACGATCTGGAGACCGTGCACCTTCCAGATTGCCTTTAAAGAGAATTATATTGGCTATGAGGAAGAGAAAAAATAGATAATTTTTAAAGCATTATTTTGTAAGAACTGCCCCCAGGTCATCCATTTTGAACATGATAGCTAGTAATTTCAAGCAATGTTGTTTTCAATTTGTGCAAA